CAGTCTTGAGAAGCAAATATAATTATACGACTATTAATTGATCGATTATCATAAAATAAAAACTTTTGCTGATTAGGTTCTGCTGTCATCGTCCACTTACCCTCTAATACGAATTCTTTGGAAGAAATTGTAGGATATAAATTGTTACGGATTCTCCTTAAATTTCTTTTTACATTATTTTCATTTGACATCAAACAAGCAGCTACGTCTGTTAATTTGGTAACTTCTTTTGCGTACACTTTAAAGGTGCGTTTACATTAGGCCGCGAACGCGAACGAATGGTATAAAATGTAACCGAACGAATGTGAACGCATATTCGCTTGACATTCGGCCGCGACCGTTTACATTGTTCGGTCTTTCGTGTTCGTCAGTCTTCGCTTCCACAAAAATCTTCGCTCCCAAAAAATACAACTAAGTTAGTTAGTATCGACACAGCTTCTGTCGAGTAAGCAGGCCCTGATTTAGTGAAATAGGAGCCCTGTGCACTATAAACTTTGGGGGCCTTTTTTAACAAAAATTGTAAAAAATATGACTGATATAACTATCGATGACTTATAAGTGATTAGTGTAAACCGTATGAAAACTACGCATGCTGCGGCGGCCTCCTTATAAATAGGTTATAGTTACTACTTACTATAAATCTTATTAAAAATATCTTTTATTTATGGTAGCAAAGTATAGAATAGGAAGGCCGAAGGGGCCCTTCAAATTTGGGGGCCCTGTGCTAGTGCACCGCCTGCACATGCGTAAATCATGGCCTGCGAGTAAGGACTGTTGATTTTTTGATATATAATTTAAAGCCTTTTAACCAGGACGAAATTGATTTGTGTTTAATTTGAATATTTGTAATTTTTATAATTAAAATGTCATCAAGTGAAGAAGATGATTTGTTATTAGCTGCTTCAAGTTTTATGCTCATGAAAACATTAATAAAAAAAACTTCAAAAACAAGAAGAAAACGTCGCTGGTGGATGACTTCGTTGTACGGTAACAGAGGATTGTATAGTGGAACTATGTTGCTAAATGACCTGCAAAAGGAAAGTCATTTTAAAAATGCTGCAGAGTGTCATATGATACGTTTAACCAATTACTCACTTTAGTTGAGCCTAAAATTAGAAAAGAAAATACAAAGTTTCGAAAAGCTATACCCTCTAATGAAAGACTGGCATTGACTTTAAGATACTTGGCGACAGGTGATTCATATGCGAGCTTGTCATTGGTTTTTAAAATTTCAAAATCATCGATTACACATATTATACCAGAGGTCTGTACAGCCATAATTGAGGTTTTACAAGACTACATACAGGTAATTTTTTTAATACACTAAAATTATAAATGAATAAATAAATATATCCTTTTTAAATAACAATGTATATTTACTAAAAATAAAATATTGTAAGTAACTCGTAGGTATAAGCAATAGATTAACATTATTAAAAAATTAAAATAAATAAATCCTTTTTAAATAACAATATACACTTAATAAAAATAAAATATTGTAAGTAACTCGTAGGTTAGGTTAGGTTAGGTTAGGTTAGGTTTATTATATTTTCTTTCATCGCATTTAAGGCACGACATACTTCAGCTTCAGCAGAATCAGGATTATGAGAATGTTTTTGAAATTTTGAAATTTTGCTTTTGGACGAATTTATCGTTACACTACCTTTACAATTATGTTTCTTTCGTTGAACACAAGTACATCTGAGCCCATCACCAACTTCTTTATGGAACACATAAATATAATCATTAATTATCACTTTTGTTTTAATTATTTCAATTATATCGGAACATTCTGAGTCCATATTGAATGAATATTATGATAATAATTACTTTTAAATAAAACTGAGTACACACTACACTACAACAGACACTAACTAGTAAGTAGTAACTAATAACTATTGCCTGATGCCTATAGCCTATAGGTACTTACCTACTCACGATTATCGTCATTGTAATCGTAATCGTAATCGCTCGGTTTAACTAATAACTATTGCCTGATGCCTATAGCCTAAAGGTACTTACCCATGGGCGGATAGGCCATTTTTGGCCTACCGGGCAATTTTAAAAAGGGGCCCCCACATGAAAAAAAAAGTTGATCGCTTCGCTCGCAAGTACATTATTAGGTGAATTAACAAAACATTAAATCTACAACAAAAGTACAAAACACATTTTTCAAATCATTTATTTTTTTTCAATTTTAAATTAATAACATTTTACCAAATACTAGGCTCTTAGCTCCTAATTTATTAATGATGTCTTCAGAATCAATTTTATTGAGAATATCTTTTTCTACATTCATTAACAACATACTCTCTAATACATTCTGACTTATAGTATTTCTTAAATAATTTTTTACAAATTTTAATTTAGAAAATGTACGTTCTCATTCTACTTGTGTAATGGATAAAGTAAGCATAAATTTATATGCAAAATGGAGTCCACTATATGTATTTGCGTATAAATTATATTTCACCAACACTTCAAAACAGCATGTAACACAATACTTGGCACTGGAACTATGCACACATACTATAATATCATCATCACTCTTGTATCCTACAAAAAAATATAAAATAAAATAAAATATAATTATTGTTAATTTTATTTTTTAATATTTATGTAAAAATAAATATAGATTACCATTTTCAGAATCATTACCATCATCAGGAACTTGATTATTTAGTTCATCATAAACACAAGCAATGGTTTTTTTCAACTCTCTCCATTTAGATGTAAAATCAACATATTCATTTCTAAAATCATCATAAGTTATGTCCGGTATAAAATTTCTGATTTTTTCATATATTTTTACTAAAGCATTTGTTGGAAGTGGTAAATCTGGTTGAAAATTGTTTGGATCGAGACAAGAAAAATCGGCACATAGTTGTTCATGTTTTTCAAATCTTGATGAAATACTTTCAATGACAGTATCAAACACTAGGTTGTAAACATTGATTTCATATGCACGTAATGGATCTATAATAGGATCATCTATTGAATCATAGTCAGTAAAATGGTCATGGTATCAACATTTTCAATGTCTTCAACTGTATTAACTTGAATTTTTTCATTGTCTTGCTTTAAAGCATTGACATCTAGAAAGTAAAGTTTTCATTTTTTAAATAGTTAAGTTAAAATGTATAGAAAAGTTAACTAAAAATTACCATCATCACTATTCAGCTTTTCTCTTTCATTTTCAATAACAGTACTGTAATATTTTTTAAGATCACTGTCACCTAGAGATAGAAATTTGAAACTACATTTATATAATTCAAATTTAGATATATATTATATAGGTAGGTAGGTACCGTTATCAATATTTGAACAGGTTCCAACTGTTGTGATGGTATCAACATTTTCAATGTCTTCAACTGTATTAACTTGAATTTTTTCATTGTATTGCTTTAAAGCATTGACATCTAGAAAGTAAAGTTTTCATTTTTTAAATAGTTAAATTAAAATGTATAGAAAAGTTAACTAAAAATCACCATTATATATAAATATATTATACATTTTTAACAACATCTATATTCCATTATCAATTAAGTACATCTAATTATAAAAGTTTAGTGTTTTAGTTAGGTTTTTATACTTCAAATAATGTTGAAAATTATAAATATAATACACATTAAAAACACAATTTATGTTTAAAAAATATTAGAAAATTTATTTGACATCCCTTACTTATTTTATACTGTTAATTGCTATTAAGTGTAAAAAATATACTAAGATAGATATAAAATATAGTATCTTTTAGTTAATATTGTACATGAATAGGTACATGATAATATTATATTATAATATATATTATAATAAGCACCTATATCATATTATCAATATTACCATACATTATTAATTATTATAGGTAGATAAATGTATTAAATAATAATAAAATATATTAAAATATAAAAAATGCATAGGTATTAGGTAGGGTATGGTACCCATAGTTATACCTATGTGACTATGTGTGTACTTACTTGATTTTACAAAATTTAATTTTTTTTGATTGGGGTTTTGTGCTTCCTTTCTTAGCAAATCTTTCTCCTTCTTTTTTCTTTTAGCACTTCCGCTTTTATGTGATTTTTTTGAATTGCCCATTGAAAAAAGTAAAACAGCAGCACGTAAACGCCTGTTATAGCTGCATTATGTACTATGCAATATGTAAAAACTAATAAATAAGTTACACTGAAACTAATGACTTATGAGTTATGAGCAACGACGTAACGTAATGTCCGCAATAGTGAAATAAGTATAATATAATAATGGTAGTTCTATAATTTGATTGAGATAAGATACCAGTAAAATAGTAAATACTACCTACAGTACCGGCAGTACCGCAAACAAATACACGATAGCACTGAAAATGTTCAATATTTAGTCTAAAATTATTCTAAAAATAGTATCTACAACAACATAATATCTATTATCTGTGAGTTATTACCCCCCTTACCCGCCGCCAAATAGGGATCGACGTTGTAGTGTTGTTGTGGCAGAGCGGCAGCTGATGCGGGCCGATAGGCGATAAGAAATCTTTTGTGTAATACACTAATACCACAGAATAGTAATAAACTAATAACTAATAGATATAAGATTATAAAATAATATAATATTTCAAATTTGATATTTCTTTTGTAATTAAATAATATTAATATAATATTAATGAGTCGTTACGTTAACCATAAAAAGGGCCCCATTGCCGAAATACGAAGGGGGCCCACCGGGAAATGCCCGGTTGCCCGGTAGGCCTATCCGCCCATGTACTTACCTACTCACGATTATCGTCATTGTAATCGTAATCGTAATCGCTCGGTGTCAATTGTCCGTGTTCTAAAAATATCGGGTGCAAAAAGTCCGATATCGGCAAAACCGTCGGGTGTCAATTGTTCGAATACCGTGAGTCATATGCCAGTCTCCAGATGCAAATTACATAGCAGATAGATGATTGCACTAGAGACAAATATAGTACACGTATCTGTATTAAAAATAAATCTCATTTCATTAAATACAAAAAAGAATTTTCGCATAGCCTTTTAAATTATTAATATGATTATTCCATCTAAATCTACTATCAATTATTATACACAAATATTTTGGAAATCGGTAAAAAAGACCAAGGAAAAAAAGAACACGGAAAAAAAGAACAATTTTTAAAAATTTTAAACAGTGTCCCACTAATCAATATTAAAAAAAAAAAATTTTAATATAATGCTATATTTGTGGTATTATTTATTATTATTATTATTATTATTATTTATTATAAAAAAATACGAAACATAAAATTTTGATTTAGAACGTTCATCGAACTCGGAGACACATCGAGCATAAATCTCGACTGGATTTGTTCAAGATGTCTTAGTCATTAATTTCATTTTTGATACTGCTTTCATAACATTTACTTCGGATTGGTTCGCAGGATGATTGTGTTCTATTTTCACGGTAGGATCAGTTTTCAAAATACTAGTCCTTAGTCCTTAAAATAGTTTTTACCTTTGTGCTTTGTGATATAAGTATATTCTTCAAAAGCTACTTTTCACCTCCTTTATTAGATTTAAAAATTTCCATTTCAAATGTATTTAAAAAATTGAAGTATAAAAATTTAATGAAAACACTTGAACACTTCAATGACTGTCAATAGACTAAAATATGTTCACTCAAATTATAGCTCTAAAGTATGAAAAGTCTACATGGGAAATTTCCAGTAATAAAATGTTGTTTTATATTTTATGATAAAGTATGAAAAGGTCACCTATAGTCAACTATAAGGGCACTAGGATTACTTAGGGCATTTCCAGTAATAAAAATGCATCTTACTCTATATTATTATACTAACCTTTATTGTTTTTATGTTTCGAATTTTTTTTATAATAAATAATAATAATAATAATAATAAATAATACCAAAAATATAGAATAAGTGTCTATGCATTATATTAAATTTTTTTTTTGTCCCACTGTTTAAAATTTCTAAAAATTGTTCTTTTTTTCCTAGATTCGCTTTAACCGAATTCCCAATTTGATTATTTGTATTATCATTTATAATATAAGTTTAAAAACGAAATTAATTACATCATAACCTTTATTGTATTTATGTTTCGTATTTTTTTTATAATAAATAATAATAATAATAATAAATAATACCAAAAATATAGAATAATTGTCTATGCATTATATAAACATTTTTTTTAAAAAAAATATTGATTAGTGGGACACTGTTTAAAATTTCTAAAAATTGTTCTTTTTTTCCGTGTTCTTTTTTTCCTTGGTCTTTTTTTCCTAGATTCAAATATTTTAATAGTGTTTACTTGCTCCAAATTTATACAAATTTTACAAATATCATTAAAGTTTGAGGAGTGAAAATGTAGTTTGTGACCTGAGTTAGAACAATTTGGGTCATTATTAAAATAAATATATTCTGACCTATTAATATTGAACTGTAATAAGTGGTTGTAGTATTGATTTTTGTGTAAATGATATAATATTTAAATCTGATATAGGTCATAATATTGTTTGTGATTCTCCTGCTAAGGCATTTTTATTGAATGTAAAATGGCTCAATGTTTATTCTGGTAATTCATCATGTACTCAAGAGGGCAGGTCTTTACAAAACAGAATGCATTTTTTGATATAAATGTTCCATTAAGATCTAACGAAAGTATTTGTAATAGGATAAATGAAGATAATCATAAAGGCAATAGTCCATTACTAAATAGCATGATATTTATAAATATCTAAGACTTTGTTTAAATAATTGTTAACATTTTATTAACATTTAAAAAACAGTTTCAAATGTTAATTATCAGTTTATCGCAAAGACCAAGTTTATACTTAAGTGGAATGTTAGTTTTACTAACATGTACTCAAGAAAATGAAAATGAAAACCTTATTCATTTATTTCGCTGTTATACCCATACTACCTCGGAGTATATTGGAGTCAGGGGATGAATCAATGCACCGTTCGGAAACTACTGCTCGAGGATGTCCTTGATATCATCCTGAGGCTGCAACAGGAGCTCCTCCTGAATGATACATTGATGCAGTGATGAGTAGGCAGAAACAGAGATGCTGGTATTTAGCAGGATGGCGGAGACGATACTCGGCAGCTGGAGGCTGTAGAGCGTGGATGCATGCAGGAGGTGGATGGCTAGGTTAAATGTCGTTTAATTATATGGGCCGAAGACCAATTATGCAAGGCAATTAGAGGCCCCCATCTACGTATAGTGTACTTTGAATTTGATGAATAAAGAATATGGGACCGGGTGGCAGTATTGTGGTAAACAGTTCCCACCCGTAACACGTTTTTTGAAAGGAAAAAAGGTAAACCTACAGTGAAAATTCCATAAAATGTGTGTGACCATATTATAATAATTATTATTTATCTTGTTTTATTTGTATTCAAACATTTTAATTTTCTTAATATCATAAAACCCGGTTGCAGACAATAATATACGATTTTTAAGGGGTTTAATATAGGCAATCTTATCTTAATTTTTTTTATAATAATTAATATTAAAAATCGAGTTAATACCTAGTAAGTATATTTATAGATTATAAATTTACTCATAAAATATGATATTAAATAAAACTATGACCTCATACTTATTTTCCTAAATTATTAGTATGATTTATAATTTTTTAGGTATATATACTATCTAGTCTTAAACCTTACTTTATTAGTATTATTTGCATATGACATATTTGACTTTAGACTACATTAGTAAAATGTTTTTATCCAAAAGCTTGTTACTAAATACAATGAACTATGTATTAGATAATATACAGTAGAACAATATTTAACAAATCAAATATACTTATATACCAAGTATTTGTTTCAAATATGTTAACCCACACAGTTTTTTTGTATAGAAAATTATATTAATTATACACCATACATTAATTACACTTTTATTATTAAAAGTGAGTATCACTTTGCTGTACAGTAAGTACCTAGAAGGGTCACTGTAATGACTAATGGATGTGTTAAATTTGAATTCAATGATATTAATTGATATTAAATTATTGTATATAATTCTGAGCCTTGGACTAGGGAAAAAAAGTGTCAGACTATTCACTACTGAGATTGGTGGACTAGCGAGTGTCAGATTAGCGAGGTCTTACAGCACCTACTAACAACACCCAATATAAAATGAATACGTAAATAAATTCATTAAATTAGTAAATTCAATAATAAAAATAAAAATTATAAATAATTAAATAATAAACCAAAATTGTTATGATTCGTAATTATATTAACACAATATGAATTTCTTTTTTTGAGAAATTATTAACAATAAAGGTCAGTGTCAATTGAATTGGCAATATCTTTTTCAATGCTAAAATAGATAAATAACTAAACCTATCTTGTCCTATACTACTTATTAACGTTTTATTTATAATTCAAAATAACAATAACAAAATGAGGAAACTGAACTTATAATTAAATTCTAATAATTGATATTATATATTACTAAAATATAATTTGAAACTAAAATATAATTTGAAAAAAACTAGGATGGCTATGTCCCCTTCCATCATTGAGTATATGAGTTAAGTGTAGATTTTTGTTAAATAATAGAATATAAAAAATGCTAAAACATACCTAATTGGTAATTACTAATTAGTTATCTGTAAGTAAATGGTAATGAATTTGTATTAATTTTATATAAACTATAGATATTATATTGGAATTTTGTATTTCCTGAGGTTTAAATTTTGAATTGATTGGATTACAAATCAAGTAGGTATTAATGAGCATTAAACACATATAACTTAATTAACTGTGTTCAACAAATGTTTAGTAGTAAGGCCATGAAAATTATAACAGAACTAATAATAATATACTTTTATTTATATTTGTTAGCCTCCAGTAAAATAAACCAAAAAAATCTTGGTAGCACATGGCACAACTATTCTAGCAAAACTTGTTATTACACACTTCGTATTCGAAGATATTAAAATATAATTTAACTGTAATAGACATTTTTATTTATGTCTTAAATAAGAATTGAACAAAAATGACATGGAAAATATTGATGCGTCATATTGTATTGTTGAAAACTTAGCTTAAAAGAAAAACAAATATTTATTTATTTTCCTATGTGC